TCCTCTGTGACTTCTTGCCATTGTTTATTTACCCACACCATCAGGCTTTTTGAGATTAAGGCAGAGGGCGTTTACCTTTTGTCCTTGGATCAACAGTCATAATGCAGTTATATCCCTTAAATGGATTCATGTTGGATCCTGGGATTTTGTTCTTGGGTCTCTTTCTGGAATCTACTTGCCCATTACCTTCTGTGAGGTTCAGATTCCAAAACACTGGTGCAGACCTCTTTACTTGGAATCTCCTTCCTCCTTGTTTTTTCTGAGATCTTTGACACTCACATCCCTTGATAAAGCATAGCTGATTTCCTAGTATAGCACCACTGACTTTAATGAATTTCAGGTCCTTGTCTCTTGCCCCACCCTCCTTTACGTCTGCCCATGATCTAGCACTGAAATAAAAACATTTATAGTCTTCAACTTCATCATAACATAAGAAATTAAATTTTAAATGTTGCTAGTATCAACTGGAACCTAACCTGTGGGTGGCCCGAGCTTAACAAAGCAGGCCAGAGACAGGGGAGTCAGGAATCAAACAGAAGCTTAATTTCAAAGTGAGGAAAACAGGTTTGCAAACCGAAGTCCTCCTGAGAAGGAGGACATTAATGACTAATATTTTGTTAAAATTTAAATTTTAAGAAAGGGTAAGAGAAAACTTGACCTACTGTGATATTTGTAGAAATATTTTCATCTGATGATTGAGAAGAATTTGTATGTTTTGGCATACATTACAGTTGCACAGGCACAAATTCCTGAAATGTTGAGAGGTTCTTTGAATCGCATCAGGCAGCAGTGTTAATAAAATAGAAAAGTAGATTTAATTCAATTAGATTAACTTTACTGTACTTGTAATAGTACATTGTTTAAATGTTGAAATGAGTAGAACAAGCCCAAGGCTCTGCAATTAGAGAACCTGGTCTCAACTCTAACCTCAGATGTTACCGATCTGTGTGAGTTTGGGAAAATCACAACCTCCCTAAGCCTCAGGTATCTCATCTGGAATATGGGGGGGGGGTGTTAAACTTGGTAACTGTAATCAAGTAGTACTTTGTAATGTGACTTTTACATGTAAACCATTAATACTGCTTATATTCTAATGTAACAGATGATAAGTAATATATTTACTGGAAATTCCTTACTTTTTTGAGCATTTAGCAGAGTTCAGGATGCTAATAAACAAGATGAACAAGACTTCTTTATTTTTACATAAGTGGCTATCCTGAAGGCAGGATGAGATCTTTGACACTCACACACCTTGATAAAGCATAGCTGATTTCGTAGTATAGCACCACTGACTTTAATAAATTTCAGGTCCTTGTGTCTTGCCCCATGTAATACCGTGGTAAAATAATTACCATGTAACAGTTTACTTCTGCCTTGGCTAGTAATGATTATATCTCTAATCAGTTTTTAAATCCATGCATCAATTAATTCTCCTCTTCTTGTACAAAAACTAAATGGACATTTATAGCTCTGCTGACATTCATTTCATTCATTTTATCTTTATGCTGACTTAATGTTTAAACCTATGGATCTGATGACTTTAAAAAGTCAAAGGAAATACCTGAAAAATAAATTTGGGGGCTCATGGAAAACAAAACTTCACTGTAACTTCTAATTCATTAGATGCTTATTTGTAAGAAAATAAAAACTTAAATCTGTTTTCTGATTCAGTTTTATAAATAAATAAGCTATTTAAATGGGTGATTTTCATTAAGCTAAAATTTACTTGCTGAATTTAAAACAGTCTCTTTGGTAGCATAAGACGGTAATGCTGTGCTTGTGTTGATTACAGATCATATTTTATTTCTTTAAAGACTTTTGTTGTAATTAGATTACTTACTAACATTTGTCAAAGTATGAGCGATATTGTCACTAAAAAAAAAATCTATCAAAGAATTACCATAAGTCTAAAAGTTTAGTATCTTGCCCTGCCATGCTTTATAGCTGCCCATGCTTTAGTACTAAAATAAAAACAATTGTAGAATTTTTAATTTCTTTAAAACTGAAACATCAATTTTAAATGTTTCTAGTAACTAGAATTTTGTTTAAATTCTCCTCATTGGCATGTCTACTGTCTTCACATTCTTCTTTTAACAAGTCTCCGTCCTTTTGTACTTTTTCTTTTTTGTAGCCCTCCCCTTGAATTTGGGGGTTTTGGTGCCGGTTGACTTTGACCATTTTGCTCATGAAAAGAGCATTTTTTCCCCTTCTGGTCACATAATTCTCTATCGAATCATGGCATATGCCACTGGTATCAGATTCAAATAAAACCATGGCTACTAAAACATACTTAAGAATCCTTTCAGGCTGCATATTGAAATAGAAAACCACATGTTAACATTATCTTTGTTATGTAGTATTTTAATTTTGTTAAATATTTCCCAATTACATTTTAATATGCTTTGGGCTGCTTTCGCACTCTTGTGAAACTATATTTGATATATGCCATCTAAATGTTTTCATCTCTTCTACAGTGTTTTTTTATTATTCATGCTGAGAAAAATTTTTTCTCCTTCTGAGTTTGTGGTTATTCCAGAAATTTAATAAAAAAGAAACTGGTGAAATCAAAACCAGAACCTTGGGAGGAAATGACCATGTTATCTTAGGATTTGAAATAGATCTTGGGCTTTTAGATTTAGAGCTGGAAGGAATCCTGGTAGTCATTGAATCTGAACCCCTCATTGTGCAAGGGGCTCAAGTGATTTGCCCCTAGTCATTTACTGAGTGAATATCCCGGCGGGATTCAAACTTGCTTCTTCTTGACTCCAAAAACTGCATTCTGTTCACCACATCATGAGGCATGTTCTGACAGCTACACTAGACTTTAAGAGAGTGGACTGTGGATTTTAGGAAGTTCATAGAAAAATAGTTATCTTCCAGTGGTTTAACACACCATGAGGTATAATCTGACATCTACAGTAGACTTTAAGAGAGTGGATTGAGGATTTTAGGAAGTTCAGGGGAAAAATAGTTATCTTCCAGTGGCGTAACACTCTAAAGGGACTTTGTCATAAGAGACATGTTTGTCAGGAAGGAAATTTTGCCCCAACAATTGGAAATGATTGCAATGGGGAACATAAGAGGAAGATGTTTAAACAGAGTGATGTGGTTTTTTGAGGAGCTCTGTAATTAACTCAAACCTACAAAAAGGATCAGTACCAAAAAATGAGAATGAGACAACACAATTTAATTTGAATACAAGAGTGGCATGATCTTTTTCTTTGTTTGTTTGGCATTCTCCCCCTCCCCCCTTTTATTTAGTATTTTATTTTTTACCAGTTATATGTAAAAACAATTTTTAACATTCGTTTTTTAAAACTTGTGAGTTCCAAATTCTCTCCTGTCCTCCCTCCTCAGCCCCTCCCCACATTGATAAGGCAGGGAATTCGATATAGATTATACGTGTGTAGTCATGCAAAACATTTCCATAAAAGTCATGTTGTGAAAGAAAACCTAGAGGAAAAAACCTCTAGAAAAATAAAGTTTTAAAAAAGTATGCTTCAATCTGTATACAGACACCATCAGTTCTTTCTCTGGGTATGGATAGCATTTTTCATCTTAAGTCCCTTACAGTTGTCTTGGATCATTGTATTGCTGAGAATAGCTGTCATTCACAACTGATCATTTTACAGTATTGCTGTTATGCTGTACACAGTACTTTTCACTTTACATCAACCCATGCAAGTCTTTCCAGGTTTTTCTGAGAGCATCCGGCTCATTTCTTATAGTATAATATTTCATTGGCATTATCTTTTAAGAATAGTTTAAGGTAGTTAAAACCTTGAACTAATTGAGGCTTTTGAAAAATGCTAGGATTAAAAATCCCAGCTTTGTACCTGTGTGACATTAGCCAAATCACTTAATCTCCTTGGGGCTCAGTGTCCTGTTTTGTGAAATGAAGGGATTTATTATATATGTGTGTGTGTGTGTGTGTGTGTGTGTACATATGTATGTATGTATATGTGTGTATGTATACATATACGTATATAATATATATGTATACATATGTGTATATATATGTATTAGGCAATTGGGGTTAAGTGACTTGCCCAGGGTCACACAGCTAGGAAGTGTCAAGTGTTTGGTCTGCATCTGGATTTGAACGCAGGGCCGGTGCTCTATCCACTGAGCCATCTAGCTGTCCCAGATTCTGGGCATTTTCACTGATTGATTTCTGTGCATGGCAGGCCCTTCCTCCTTATCTCTGCCTCCTGGCATCCTTCATATGTCCCATCTAAAATTCTACCTCCTATAGGAAGACTTTCCTGATCCTTCTTAATTTTAGTGCCTTCCCTCCATTGATTATTTCTAATTTATCTTATATATAGTTTGTCTATACACAGTGATTTATTTCTCCCATTAGATTGTGATCTTCTTGAGTACTAGGACTGTCTTTTATCTTTCTTCATATCCCTAAGGCATAGCCTAATGCCTGGCACATGGTAGGCATTGATCTGTAATGCAGGAGAGGCATGATGGCCCACCTTGCTCTCTCCTCTGTTGCAGCTTCTCGCTCTTTTGTTTTTTTCTATTGGTTGGTCCATCTGTGCTGCCAAGTGCTTTTCATTATGTTTCCTTAAAATCCCGGGGGCGGTTAGGGATACTGCATCTCCAGTCCTTTCTCTGTTTTTCCTTTCACAGACTGGCTGCTTTTTAAAAACTCCTGGCTAGGATTCAAACTGAACTTAAAAACATCAGCATGGAAGGTCTGGTAGTATTGGTAAAGAGAAGAGCAAACATTTCTCTTTTTAAAAAAATTTTAGTGAGCAGTAATACTGGAGCACAAAAATGTGTTCTACAGGAAGAAAGATTGAACTAATGGAAATCTGCTCCTTTAGAAAGTCCTGGGAAAGTGCAGTCTTGGAATCCCAGTGGCAAATAGGTATAAGAATTTTTCTTATCTAAAGAAGCAGAAGGTATGGTAAAACAAGACTGAATAAGGAAACTGTGCCAATGCTTTTGTCTTTGTATTTAATTATTTTCCCTTCTATATTTTTTAGATCATCAACAAACAATATGGAAGAAAACCAAGAGGAAAGCAAGACTTCTATGATAATAAGTAACAGCCAACTCTTGGAAGAAGTGAAAAAAGAATTCAAGGATTCAACCAGACGTAACACAAAAGATTCTGAGAGGTCATGCAGAAAAAGCTTCAGGTTGGACTATAGGTTAGAGGAGGCCGTAACCAAATCACAGAAAGGAAAAGATGGAAGATACGTCAATCCTTGGCCCACATGGAAATATCCATCTTTTTCAGATATTTTGAAATTTATTATGCTGGAAAAAAATAACAGCAAAATTCCACGTTGTAAGGAGGTAGATGATTTTGTTTCATATCTTATATTTACTTACGTAACTGTAATATTGGGTTATAACACTGAATTACCATAGTTAAATGAGTTATCTCAGTGAGCTCTTAGAGAATAAGCTAGTATCATGTTCTTTTAAAAAAAATTTAATTAATTAATTTATTTTTAGTTTTCAACATTTACTTCCACAGGATTTTGCGTTCCAAATTTTCTCCCTGTCTCTCCCCTCTCCCCACCCTAAGAGGGTGTGCATTCTGAATACTCCTCCTAATCTGCCCTCCCTTCTATCACCTCCTCTTCTCTTATCCACTTCCCTCTATTTTCCTGTAGGGCAGGATAGATTTCTATACCCCATTGCCTGTATATCTTAATTCCCAGTTGCATATAAAAATAATTTTTAACATTTGTTTTTAAAACTTTGGGTTCCAAATTCTCTCCCTTCTTCCCTCCCCACCTACCGTCATTGAGAAGGCAAGCAACTCGATACAGGTTATACATGTGTAGTTATGCAAAACACTTCTATAATAGTCATGTTGTGGAAAACTATATTTCCCTCTATCCTATCCTGCCCCCCATTTATTCTATTCTCTCTTTTGACCCTGTCCCTCCTCAAAAGTGTTTGCTTCTGATTGCCCCCTCCCCCAATCTACCCTCCTTTCTATCATCCCCTCTTTTATCCCTTTCCCCCTATTTTCCCATAGGGTGAGATAGATTTCTATACCTAATTGAATGTGTATGTTATTCCCTCCTTAAGCCAAATCCTATGAGAGTAAGATTAACTCATTCCCTCTCACCTTTGCTGTTTCCCCTCCACTGTAAAAGCCTTTTCTGGTCTGTTTTATGTGAGATAATTTACCCCATTCTACCTCTCCCTTTCCCCTTCTCTCAGTATAATCCTTTCTCACCCCTTAATTTTATTTTTTAGGCATCATCCCTTCGCATTCAACTCGAGACAACACACTCTTGAAAGTAATGAGGTAGATTAGGATTAGATAAATGAGGTATAGGGTTAAAGAGAATTTTATTCTATGGACAACATGGTACAGTGGAAATGGTTTGAGATTAGAAGTCAGGAGACATGGAATGTAGTCCTTGCACCTCTGCTAATAAACTATTATTATGTAATCTTGGGAAAATCACTTAAAATTCTCTTTGATTCTTTTGGTTGCCATAAGGGGAAAATATATCTAAAGCAAATTACAAATATAAACTGTTATAGTTTAGAATAGCATCTGTTGTTGTTACTGCTGCTGCTGTTGCTGCTTCATTTCAGTTGTGTCTGACTTTTTGTGACCCCATTTGGGCTTTTCTTGGCAAAGATATTGGAGTGGCTTGTCACTTCCTTTTGTAGTTCATTTAAAGATGAGAAAACTGAGGCAAATAAGATTAAGTGATGTAAATGACAGCTTCTAAGTGTCTGAGGCCAGATTTGAACTCAGGAAGATGAGTCTTTCTGACTCCAGGCCTGGTGTTCTATCCGCTGAGCCACTGAGTCCATGCAAAAACATGAATTACATATGTTGCCCTTTACTTACTTGTACTGCTTCAGAAGCCATATTATATTTAAATATGATCTTAAAGATCATAGATATAAATCACAAGATCACAGGTTTAGAGCTGGAAGGGACTTTAAAAATCATCTAGTCCATCCCCTTCATTTTACAAATTAGGAAACTGAGGCAGACCAAGGTTTAGTGACTTTCCCAGGATCACACAGGTAGTATCAGAAGTAGGATTTGAACCCAGGTTCTGTGAGTCTAGAACCAGTACTCCTTCCACTGTTATATTTCCTAGAAAAGGTTCAGTACTTGTGGTAAAAATGAAAGGGGACAGAATAGCATTCATTATATGTTATTGTTTATTTTGCAAGTTCTCTGATAAATCTTGATAGAGATAGCTGTGGCAAATCTTGAAATACAACACAGTAATTCAGCAGGACCGATTCTCTTGTTGACCGAGTTACATTGTGAATGACGAGATGTTTGGCATATGCCATTGGCTTTTATCCACCCGCCATCTGCTTCAGGGTGTCTTTAGTCTGTAACCATGCCTTCAGTATGGCTTTTTGCTTGAGGCTGATGAACTCTAATAGTGACAGTTTATTAGTTTTCAACACACAATTCCTCAAATCCAACCAAGGTAATTGCAGACCTATTATCAGAAGAAGAGTATTTGGCAATCTTCATGTTGCAAATAATCGGTACAAGTTTTTTACAGAAGAATTTAAAAGAAGTCTTTACCCTCTTCCATTCTCATCATTGATTGTACGTAGTTTATCTTGTACAGGATGACTATTAATAGGTTGATACTTCACCCCAACACTGTGACACTGGAAGTTTTTATTTCAATTTTTTTTCTACTCCTTCCTGGTGTTTCAAAGTGATGTGGAATTTTCCAAGGCCTTTCTTCCAAGTTTATGACCTGTTTACTCAAATACATAGTAAATGTCTATCATGTGCAAAGTTTTATATTAAGTGCTGAAAGATACTAAAGTAATAAAAAGAGATATACACACAAATAGCTACAGTACAAGATGGGATATAATATATACATAGGAGAGATAAAAAGTGCTATGAGGTCCAACGTAGGAAAAATACTTTCTGATGGGGGATCAGGGAAGGCATCATGAAAGAGGAAGCATTTGAATTGGCACTTACAGAATGGATAGGATTTCAATAGTAGAAGATGGGGCAGTGAGGAAAAGAGGGCATTCCAAAGATAAAGGATGGTAGGAACAAGTACATGAAGGTAGGTAAGTACAAGACCAGTTCAAGAATAATGAATAGTCCATTTTGGCAGTTGCATGGGAATGGGGGGTGGGGAGAGTAGTGCAGAGTAAAGCTAGAAAAGTAGGTTGGATCTAGGTTGTGAAGGGGCCTTGAATACGAGTCTAAGGAATTTGTACTTGATTTGGTAGAGAGCAAAGGTTTTTGAAGAGGGGAGTGACATGATCAGAGTAGTACAGTAGGAAGATTAACATGGCAGTGATATGTAAGCTAGATCGGAGTGGGGAGAAGGTGAAGAACTACTTAGAAGGATACTCTTAATAGGTGCAGTATATTCAGGACGTAATGGTGGTGTGATTGGGTGGCTGCATTGGAAATGAAAGAGAGGTGTTGTGTATTCAAGAGATACTATGTAAAAGTAACACCAAAGCCCTCATTTCTTAGAGCCTGATGTGTGAAAAGCATTGTGGCAGATGCTGGAAGAGATACAAAGTTTAGAGGAGGCACGTTGGGAATAAGACATAAACTCATTTCAATTCATAAACTCATTTCAATTCAACAAGCATTTTGTTAAGCCTGTCACTGCAAAATGCTGTGCTACACACAGAGATATGCAATATTATATAAGTGGAGTACAGAGTTGCAGAACAAAATGTCACATGAGGTATGGGGGAGGATGATTAATTATCAGGTAAGATTTTAGAGGTGATGATGGAGTTGAGCTTTAGGAGATGAGTAGGACTATAAGTGAAAAGAAGGAATGGGGCATTTTAGGAATAGGGAACAGGCTGAGGAATTGCAGAAGGGAGGGTATTTCAAGGTATTCTGGCTAGAGTGGAAAATTGTAGGGAGTAGCGATATGAAATAAAGCAGGGTAGCTCTAGATTATGTAGAACCTTGAATGGCAGGCAAAGAATTTGATTTTTACTTGATAGACACAATACTTTTTGATATACAAGTGCCCGCTTAATCCATATAAAGCAAAGATATTCTATCAGTGGTATGATAGATGGATTGGGGAAGAGGGAAAGAGGAAGATAGGAGGCTTTTAAAATAGTTTTAGTACAATTGGATAGTAATAAAATGCATGTCTTAGGATGATTGCAATGTGAATAGAGAAGACTGATCCAAGGGATGTTTTAGAGGTGGAACTGATAGGTTTTGGTAGCTGATTGGACAGTGAGAGGTGAGGGAGAAAGAATAGTTGAATGCCAAGATTTCAAACATGGGAAACAGCACAAATGGTGTTATCAGAGATAGTAATAATGAAGTCACATGGAAAGCAGGTTTAAGGGGGAAATACGGAAAGCTGCATCTTGCATATATGTTTGAGGTGCTGGTGGACATCTAGGTAGAGACAAAAAGACATTCTCCAATAGAGATGAATGGTCAAAGAATATGAATAAACAGATCTCAGAAAAAGAATTGCAAACTCCTAGCAACTCTAAGTAAAACTATTGCAAATCACCAATAAGAGAACTGCAAATAAAAACAACTCTGAGGTTTCTACTCACCCCCAGCAAATTGACGAAGATGACAAAAGATGAGAATAATCAAACAAAAATGAACTATTGGTGGAATTGTGAATTAGTCAAACCATTCTGGAGTGCAGTTTGGAATTATGTGAAGAAAATGATTAAAACGTCTGTACTCATTGACCTAGAGATCACAAAGCTATGCATAAACCTCAAGGAGGTCAAAGTCAAAAGGAGAAGCTCTGTGTGTGTACACACACGTGCGTGCGCGCATGTACACACACACCCCAAATATTTATAGTGGCACTTTTTGTAGTAATGAAGAACTGGAAACAAATTTGATGTCCATAAATAGGGGAATGGCTAAACAAGTTGTAGTATAGGAATATAATGGAATATTACTGCATCATAAGAAATGATGAATACAATGAATATAGAGAAACATGGGAAGACTTACATAAGTTGAAGGAAAGTGACATAAGCAGAACTAGGAAAACAGTATACACAATTGCAAACATGTAAATGAAAATAATAAGACCTCAGTACTAAAAGCTTCCACTGAACTCTGCCTTCATTAAATCTCATCTGGTGTATTGTGTCCAGTTCTGGCCACCTTGGTTTAAGAGAGATCTTGATAAAGTGGAGAGTGTCCAGAAAAGCTCATCTAGAATGGTGAAGGGCCTTGTATCTATGACATGAGGACTGGTTGAAGGACATGGTATGTTTAGCCTGGACAAAAGAAGATTGGGGGAGGGAGGACTAACAAGTCCTTTTAAAATTTTTGTTTTAAGGTATTTGAAGGGCTG